GGGGGGGGGGGGGGGAGAGGGTCGTGACCTACTGAAGACATGGGCGTTGGTAATGCTGGATGAGCCGCGTTTCTGGTCCCGACCACGCCGGTGACACTCGTGAGGGTAGTGTTGGTTTGGGGGCTGGACGGAGTCCGGAGGAGGAAGCAGTTCTCTCTGGCGAGTCCCCCTCCTCTGAACCTTTGCGGTGGTCTTCTGCGTTGCATGTACACATGCCTTTGAGAGCGTCAGCGCGCCATCGCGTGTGTGTGTTGCCATCCCATTCGCTCTGGGATTCAGATTGTCACCTTTCGATACGTTTGGACGCCACCAGCGGGGGGTCACATAACGACAGGTAGAGGGAGTGCTCTGATATGTTGTTATATTTTTATGAGAACGTCTCTTGTTCATTTTTCTTGGTGTTTCTTTCGTTTCTTGCCATCGTTTGTCCCTCTTGTCTCCCCAGCCATCACGGGCAACCTCGTGCAGAATGGCTTGGAAGAGCTGGGAGAGTCCACGGCAAGCGAGGGGAGGTGCGTGCTGATGGGCCACTCCATGGGCTGCATCACGGCGGCTACGACGGCCCTCGACCCGTCTCTGCCGCCTCACCACACGACCCTGGTCCTAGTCGCGCCTGCCCTCTCTCTGCCCAGAAAGATCACAGCCGAGCAGCGGCGCGCCTCCGCGCGACGAGAAGCAGTGGCGGCGGCAGCGGCGAACGCTCCAGTAGCAAGCGGCAGCACAGAATCGGCGCAAGCAGAAGCTGCGGCGGCGTGCTCGGAAGATGAGCTCCTGCGCGGTGGAGGCGGCAGAACGGACGCGGGTTCATCTGCGAGAGGCCGGGTGGGAGCGGTGGTCGGGGCGCCGGCTAGTGCCGCCCAGGCGGTGCTGCACGCTGGGGTGTGGCTGTTCAACTGGTGCCTGCTGCCGATGATCTACCCGCTCGAGATTCTGGGGCTCAGGTGGGCATGACGGGTGGAGTGGCTTGGGGCGCATAACAGACCCTGGTGGTGCTCGCAGGTTGTTGATGTTTCCTCGGTGCACACCAGGTGCTTCGTACGTATCTGGGTGTGAGTGAGAGGGAGGGTTGTTTCGGGCTGAGGATGGGCGTCGGTGTGTCCGCGTTTGCTTTCAATCAGTTTTCTGCGTTTCCTGTGTCGCCCGCCGCGTGACTCGACCGGACCCCTTGGGTAGTTTGTTGGCTTGTGCAGTTCATCCTTCGCAGGCAAGGAGCTTCTTCTTTTCCGCCATGGGTTGACACCTTCCGTAGAACCTTTGTTCCTCTGTGCCCGCAGCCTGTCCTGCTGAGGCTAGCGCATACATTCGGTGATCGTCATCTGGGCCCCGGCGGGTGCACCCGATGAAGCCTGCCCCAAGCTTCCTGGCTCAGTTGGTTCATGCTTAAACTCGCCTGCGAGGCCCGACGTCAAGCGCTTTGTTGGGCACAACACCTCCACTGCACGAACACGAGAATCCCCCCCCCCTCTGAGACTTTGAGGCCGCCGCACATGATTTGTGCCTACCTACGACAGGACGCTAGCTTACAGCGGAAACTTCTGGCGGGGGGCGCTCCGAAAAGCCTGGTGAGAATCAGACGAGGTGGGAGATAGTGATGTGCACGGGCTACTCTCAATCCCAAGTCTCGTTTTCGTTGGAGTGAAACGTTCTCAAATTGTCTGCACTTAACGGCAACCCCGGACCAAACCTCTCTCTGCTGCCAGAGTGTGGTCTGAAGCTTGCCATCGACGTGCAAAGGGTGTGCTCCTCGTGTTGCCGCATCGGTAGTGCGAGATCGGTGTCACTTTCGACCGCTCTTTTTGCGGCGCCATCACCGCCTCTGCCACTCTTTCCTTTCGCTTTTGTCCGAAGGAGCACAGGCGCATTGCTCCGGCCTGTTGGTGCCGGCGAGCGTGCGTGCGTGGTTGAATCTCTTGCTTAGTGGTTTAGCCGACGCTGAATTTAGCAAAAATGAGCACCGTCTTGAGTCCTTATTGGCAGCTGTTGGGGGACGACCACCAACCAATAGTCCGAACACTCCCACCTGTTTGATCGAGTAGCTAGCCAACAACAAGACATGGAAACAATCAACGTGTTCCACGTGCGTCGGCAGGGTCGACCAAGCGGGGGTGGACTTGGACGTGGTCAACCGCTACCGGTGGCCCACACTCGTGCGGTACTGGGACAGGTGCATCGTGTATGACAAGGATTCTGCCGCAATCACCATGTCTTCCTTTGGTTGTCTTGATTTCTCTGGCGTTTCTCAACTAAGAATTAGGTGTGGTTTGCCAGGTTATGTTCAGGTGGTGTGATAGCTGTAAATGCTGTCTCTGTTGCTTGTGCCGGGGTATGGAGAGATGGGTGCACCAAATGGTGCACGTGTAAGTAGATAGTATGCCGGTGGATTATCGGCATCGTCCTTTTGAAGTGCTGGTGCTGACCAAGCACGCCTTCGGTACACGCCTGGCGAGCACGTGCCTCCCTGCATGCGCGGGTTTGTCTAGAACCGCTGCAAGTCGTTTCGTATGAATGGCATGTAGCGTTCTTCACGATCCTTTTCCCTCGTGGTTGGACGCCATTCCTATGAAGCTTCCAGCAACTCTGACGCACTCCTCCCCCCCTCACCCTTCTCTCTCTCTCCGTCCCTTGTCGGCACACGCGGTACTCTGTTGCTGTTGCTGTTGGATCGTTGGATCGGACCAACGGATCACGGAAGGGGCTTCGCCTTGTTTCTTCTCGATCGCTTGCAGATCGGCGCAGGTGGAAGGGCGGGGCCGTCTGGGTTGGTGGAAGCGGTGGCTGCTAAGGCTGCGCAGGGCATGAAGGTCATCGTCATTCAAGGTGCAGAGTGCAGAAGAAATCAGGCTGTAGCCGGGCAATCGCCCAGGCCGCAGAAATTTCCGACGGTGATTTGTGGGTTTCAAAGCTTTGCTGAAACGGTGCTACTCGTGCATCGCGAAAACGGAAACCTGTGGCTCGTTTCTGTCTGGTCTTGTCTTTTGCGTTCGGTGTGATTGTCCAAGACACAGCAGGCATATGCTAGCAAGTAGTGGTAGATTTGTCGCTTCTGTCGCGTGGCTCCCCCCCTCTGCAACATGATCCCTGTGTGACCTTGCGCAAGGCGCTACGTGTTTCTGCGTCGTAGCGTTGTTGACATCGTTTGCTGGGGAGGCATGAGGGTGCGCTCTGTCCTATTTCGCCTCCGATAGAGCCACGCTGGTAGCGAAGGTCTTGGTAATTCCTCAACGCTGACCTCATGGTTTGAACCAGCCCTCTCGCGCCTCACACGCTCCCTGCTTTGCTTCCAAACCTCGATGGCGATGCCCGGGGTTGTCAGGGACCTCAAGATCTAGACAAGCAAAACCCTACACTTCACCAACCTCCTTTTTCTGTTCCGTGTGCCAGGTTGAATGTCTGTGTGCACACATTCATTTTGGTGGGTTCCGTTTTTTCCTTTCTGCAACATCCGCCTCTTGACAATACGTATTAACTTCTGTTGATGGCGTGCAGGCGACAAGGACACGCTCGTCAGCTCCAAGAAGGCCAAGGCCATCACTGATGCTATCCCGGGAGCTACGGTAAGAAGAGCGATGAGTTTGTTGTTTTTTGGCCAGCCCATCTCTTCAGCTGTCCCTGGCGGTTTCTGACTGCCCGAAGGCTCTTTCTCGCTCCCTGAAGGACTGCATTCTGGGGTCACACATAATTTCCTCTGTAGTGCATGCCTAATAGGTTGAGCTCGTCTCTAGCTACTTCAAACGCTAAGCCGAGCCAACGCTTCAGCGATATGTCGGGATACTATTTTTTTATTCTTATTCTTTTTGATATGGGACGCCTTCAGCTACCTACTACTCGAGATTTTGGACTACTCCGCAGTACTTGCGCGCTGAGCATACCCCCCCCCCTCTCGCACTCTGGACACTTCCGACTTGCCGATGGTACTCTATGAGCGTGGCACGAGGGTTTAGTTTACCAACCCCTAACACTCCCCCTCCCGGCTTACGGTGTGGTTGCTGCGCTGCATTCCAGCTTTTGCTGTTGCCGGAGTGCGGGCACGTGCCTCACGAGGAGAGGCCGGACGACTTCCTGCGGCTCGTCCTCGAACAGATCAGCCCAGGCGATGGTGGTGGGGGTGATGGTAATACCGATTCATGATGAGGCTGTCGCAGACACAGCAGCAGCCTTTGTTCCGGATGATGATCTGCCCGTTGTTGGTTCTTGGCAGGAGGAGAGGATTCCTTCTTACGGTTCTGTCGACTGGTTTACCGTTAGCCGGGCGACTGTGAGTGTGCGTGTGCGTCTGTGTGTTTTTTCGGGGAGGAGCGGGCGCGTTGGAAAATATTGTTCTTTTGTATATGTTGAAATGCATTTTTTGTAGGTATTGAGTGCCGAAGGGGGTCAAATCTGCGTTGAGATACATCGTAATCAGGTGGAGAATGCAGCGCAGAGTGAAGAACTTCCTCCTTGCTACTCTCCAGGTTGACGGCGAATAGAGGGAACTGTTGATAGTTATGGGCAATGTCCCGCGTTTTGGGGGTTTACGCATCGTGCTTTCCCAGCGTGTCAGCTTGCAGCAGCCTCATGTACAACAGGGTTACGGTTGTGTTAAATGCATTGCTCGGTGTGCGTTAGTTGGTCGGGTGTGACTGGTGGTGGGATGCTTTCCGAACGACTACCCAGATGATATCGAAGTACCTAGCATCCCCCTACAGTACTTGAGGTGGGTAGCATTCCCCTTGCAAACACCTGGAGGTGGGTACAAACGACGTTTCGAAGGTTTCGTCGTGACAATTAAGACCAAATTGGTGGATTGGGGCACCTCAAGAGTCTCCTCGTCCCCAACATTGCACCAGACTGAAGACTCGACAGGAAACGTTCATGAGTAAGGGCACGCGCGGCACGCCCTGTTTACCTTTTATTCACTTTGCCGTTGATGCCAGACGACGCATGCGGCCTATGGTATGATATATCGTATTTTCGACAATGGGTGGCTTCTGGTACCTCGCCGCCTGGTTTGTTGTGTAGGAGAAACAACGTCAGGTCACCTCAGCGGTGCATCGCCAACGCTGACGTGGGCCCGGAACAACGACAGTCAATGGCCCAAGAACCGAAGGGGAGGGCAGGTTTAAAAAAGAGTGCTACATAGTTACCGCAGACATCGGAGAGTTCCCAATTCGTCCTCTCCCGAACGTGGCTCTGCCATGAGACTGCTGGGACGCTGTTGGGGATTGGCGCCTTTCACACAACCAAAACACTTCTCGGCCATGAACAAAATCAGTGCCTTGTTTTGAACTATAGTGTCAAACAAAATAAGCATTCACATGGTGACCAACTACAAAGACAGGCCGGCTGCAACAGCCTGCCCAGGTATTTTCATAACATTCAAAATGACTTCCATTGGCGTTCGTCCACTCACGCCTGTGACTGGAAACCAACCGACAATCAAATAGACCTACGGTACTAAGATGAGTCGCACCCCGGCGCAGAAAAAGTCGCCTGCAATCGCCTGTCAACTTACCACCCGTTGACAACACCAAGGAACAAAAACGAAGTATGCAGCAAACATTTCCGATTTCTAACCCGTGTGTGTGTCATCACATCTTGATCGAGAACATGCATATACAGATACGCCCTTACATGCAAAGTCTCAAAGTTACAAATCGCACGCAACATGCCTGTACGCTCGAGACAAGTATATCTACGCAATCCGCGACACCGCACGATGACACCAAAAATAACGGGAAAAGGGGGACCAAGATACACGTATGAAACACACGGGCGCGCGTTGACCACTGTAAGCAGTCATGTGATGCAAGGCGCACGCGCATGAACAGGAGGTAGGCTCTTTATACTTCGTCACGCACATTTTTTTTCCCACATCGCGTGGCTGTGTAGCACTAACGCAACACACAGCAGCAGCAGTCGGCCTATTGATCCTTCTCGTGTACGTGCTTCGACAGACGCCAGGTACTGCTCTCCAGTGTGGTATATACAACAACGCACGCAGAAAATAAATAATTTCTAAAGTTTGCAGGACAAACCACAGATCTACTGAAAGCAATTCGATATTCAACCGAAAAAGATGACTGTTTTCCATTTGTCGACTTCCGTAAGCGCACAATGTAAAGGCATGGAGCACAACCGTACCGCACGATACTTGTTGCACGGGCCAGCCGTCCTCTCGAAAAGTGTCATATCACCGGTGTGCACAGCGGTATGGTGTGCACACCCATGTAACCGAAATCAAGGCATGCCTACCGCCACTACTGCCTTGCGCCGATCGCCAGCAGCCTTGAGCCATATACATCGATCCCGACCCCCCCACCGTTTGGATCGATCGATGCATACCCCGACTCTAGGAAACCACTCGCAAGGGCACAACGGACAAACTCAAACATTTCCGGTACGCAGCCTACAACTCAACTACCTGCTATCCCTCCCCTTAAGCCTAACTTGGCCGCCTGATCAGGAGTGAGCACGTACAGGGAGCCGCCGCTGCCGCCACCGCTGCCGCCGCCGGGGGCGCCCACTGTATCACCCTCCTGGGAGGGTCTACCATTGAGGGACCTAATGTTCGTGGGCGGTGGTGTCGACTCGCGCGCGGGGGGCGGCGGTAACTCTCCGCTGACGGAGCGGTTGTCTCCTGCCCTTTGCAGCTCTTTCACGGAAACGAAGTCTTTACCCTTTTTCTGGAACTTGCCACCCTCTCTTGGCCTTTCTCTGGCCTTGTTTTGCTCCTTGCGGTTGGGGTCGTTCTCGCGCATCGCCTTGACGAACGGCCGGCGCTTTCTCTTGCGGTGGTAGCGGGCGAGGGCAGCCTGCGTGTAGCACACCACAGTGGTGTCGAAAGAGGAGGCACGTTTCATCAGGTCGTTTGGCTGTTGTATCTCTTTCTGAATATGCCAACCAGCACGCACGGAAAGAGTTGAAGTATGAGTGTGCTCAGGGGAGACGTTCTTACTTGACCACCGACTTCTGTAGGCTTGAAGTCGACTCGAGTAGTGGAGCTTTGTCCCTGATGGACAGAAATTCATGTAGTGTGCGCCGCCTGAAAATGCCTTCGTTTGTTGTTCGGGTGTTTCGATATTGTTGTTGATATTGGCTATTCTTGTACAAGTATTCTTAACCCTACCCCGAAGCCAAAACAATCGCCAATAGGGCCAATTCGTATGCATAAGAGGCGAACACGACTACCCAAACCAGTCCTATGCACACCTATGGGGGGCGAGAGGCAAGTGTCTAATAACATAGTAGTGGAGTTAAGTCGACGATATGGCAGAAAGCGCTGCACCAGCCCATGCAAAAGACACAACGTGGCGTCAAAGGCCTGGCTCAGTGTACTACTTCTGTCGTCAGGAAAAAATGCGATTAATCGGAGAGCTGCGCTTGAAGTGGCCGCCATTACGGCTCAAACAAACCAAGTGAGCGGGAAATGGAAACAAGAGAGGCGCAAACTTCGCGCGATGCGTCCCGTGCGAAGGGTCAACAGCGGGCACGTGTGTCCGTTCCAGCCAACGAATATTCACGGAAATTTCGTTTCCCCCGAGAAACTCTAGCACAACGAGTCACGCTTATTTAGCAACAATATATATATCTACAACTGTATATATTTTTTTTCTCCCATCATTGGACTGCTTATTTAGAAACAATATATATATATATTTCTCCCATCATTGGACTCTGTCGTCTGCCCCGCTGGCCCCTATCCTCCACCTCTACCAGCTAGACGACCCAACCGGGGTCACATAGGAGGGGGGGTTGGAAGCCCTCCTGCGATTCCTGCCTGAGACATTCTTGTCGCGAGAAGGGTACAGCAATCCCTTCCCTCGCGATTGATGAAGTCGATAAAATATAATAACGCGCGTCGCTTCCACCGGAGACCAGGATTTAATGATCGAGGAAAAACTCACTATGTCGGGACTCGAACCCATGATCTGGCCCATAGCAGGCTACGAGGTTACTCACTAGACCACCGGGGCGACCGGTGTTTTACGGGTTTCAATATATTTTACCAACCTAAGTAGCTTGCGACATCTTCGGAACAAACTGTAATTCGGGTTTTGGGGTGACTAGCAAACGAATGTATCCGCTTCTTTGCCTTCGGAGGAAAAGCCGTACTGGACGCACGTATTAGAAGACACCGTGGGAAAATGTCGCAAAAAAAAACAGGATATGGTTGTGAATAGTTCACGCGTCATTTTCTGCTGCCCGGAAACAACTTGTACACAAATTCAAAAACAGTGGCCCACAACGAACGTAGCAGCCAACGTTTCTAGACAAAAACACGCATATAAATCACACAAGTCAGTCGACTAAAGAATATCTCACCTCTCGCGTCCACGTTGTCTCGCCTTCAGATTGGTCCTCCAGGATCATCATCGATGACGAAGCTCCCGGCGAACTGAATCTGCCTACGATACCACCACCACCCGCTGCTCCCGGCCACGCCGCCGCCATTGGCAAGCTCGGCCGGCCGCTAACCTTGGACATGTCAGGGATCATGCTCGCGAGAAGACTGAAGCTAGACTTCCTCTCATGGTAGACTCGTGGGGTGGGAGGCGGAGCTACTTGGTGTCTTGTATCTGTTGGGGGGTAGCCTTGGTCACCATTGCAGGAGGGCACCAGACTAACGCCCGGGTGATGGGCGTAGCGGTTGTGTTGGACACCGTATGGTACACCACCGCTGCTGGTTCCACTCCGTTCCGTTGTGCCTGTTGTAGTTGCCGTAACCGCGGCCGCTTCCCAGTCCTTCACCAAGCCGCCGGGTGCTGGTGGTGGTGGTATTTGAGGTTTGGCGTCGGGCATGAGGCAAACGTCTGCCAGGAAAGAGTCGCGGATCTTGCAATGGGGGTCGAACGACTGCTGTCGAAGGGGCTTATGTGGAATACGGCTGCTGCTGCTGCTGCTGCCGCTGCTGCTGCTGCTGTTCATGTCGATGGTGATGCCGTCGTGTGTCATAGCCGCTCCGCCGGCGCCAAAGCGCGGATGACGTTCCCAGGAGGCGCTGCGGCCGCCGCCGCCGCCGCCGCTGGTGCCGTTGCTGCTGCTTCCACCGGCGTGCGTTGTACCCTGGGCCACCCCCGGCCCTCCGCCGCCGCTGCTTCCACTGCCGCTGCTGCTCTTGTAGCTCAAGTTGTCCAGCAAGCGACTCAACGAGCTCGAGTCTCCCGTGCGCCAGTTTGGCTGGCTTGAGACATCATTCCGAGAAGCGGCTAATAATCTGGCCTTCCTGCTGTTGGTCCTGCCGCTGCTCCTGCCGTCGCTATCGCGAAAGCCGAACGGAGGCTTGGTAGGCATAGAGGACTCTAGATCCTGCATCTCTTTGATGTCCTGCTGCTCTACCCTGGGGCCGCCGATGCCGCTGCTGCCCCAGCTCGTACTCCTCAGCAGAAGATGCGCGTCCTTGCGATCGGCAGCAGTGAAGGTTTCAGGTTCTCGACGCCCGCCGAGGTGTTGCAAATTTGGAACACCTTCGCCGCCCGTACTGATGAGATGCGCCATCGGCCAAGCGCCCGAGTCGCAGCGCCCGCCCCCGCTATAGTCAGCATCGATAGGTTTGCTCAGCATTTGCTCCTTGCCGAGGTTTTGGAGGGCAATGGCGACCATTCCCTCCTCCGCGCTAATAGACCTCCTTTCCAGGGCTTCAGGCTTGTCCCAATAAAGCGCAAGCGGATGCTGACGACTCGAGAAAAATTCGAACGAAGTCTGCCCCGTCATCTCGTAGTGATTGGCATCGCCAGGCCTGGCGCCCGGGGGGAGCCCGTGCTCGCTGCTGAAGGCCATGTACGCGCCGGTGCTTAATTTTCTTGGGTGATCCTGGGCAGGCCTCTTGTTCCGGAGAAACCAGAGAGAAGCTCGGACAGATTGGGCGGAGATGCAAGGAAAATTCCTTCGGCAGAAGGGGAGTTGTGTGTGCTCCAGTGCAAACCCTAAAATGCATGCATGAGAGAGGGGGAGGAGGGGACATTCGGGTTCTTGTTCTATTTCTCTATCGTTTCAACGCTGCGTTTCTATTGGCTAATGCGCAGGAACTCCGACGCTGGAAGTACCCTATGCTTCAGAAGAGTGAGCATCTGTGAACCCCCCCCGATCGGTTGTCGGTGCACACCAGTGCACAGCTACGCACAAAATTGTCCATCCCTCCTGCGGAGATGGATGATGCTTGGAACGAGCTTTCGTTCGACTTTGAGCCGGCAGTCCAAGCAGCCCTGCCTCCCACGTCTTTAGGAAACACGAGAGACCGCTTCAGGACACAGGTATGCATACGAAAAACTCACTTCGTTTTTGGGTTTTTGCATCGCTGCACCAAGTGCAATTCCCACACTGACATGTCTGGATTCCTGTTTCCAACAGCCAATACCGGTCAGGGCAAGGAAAGCAGGAAGATATGCGAGGGCTGGGTTTGGATGCCTTGTGGTGATAATAGCTTTGCAAGGGAGGATCGGGGTTGGGGGAGAGATGAGAAGTAGGTAGGTCCTCTACTGCTGTAGACTACTAGCTGTAGACGAAGAATAGGCTGTATTCATATTCAGTATAATGGATTTTACACTTAAATGCCAACAGCAGTCTCGTCTACTTGCAAATGGTTGAATTCCATGAGCAATAAAGCAGTTATCGCTGGCGGGACAATCTCTCCTGCCGTTCGTTTCTTTTTTTTTAATTCAGTTGTCGACAGTTTGTTTGTTTTCAGCAGCTCACACAAGCCAAACGCACGCCCCAACCGTCGCAACGCTGGGAACAAATACTCCGAAGTAAACAAAAATGACTAATAACCCGTTAAACGTTCCGCAGCCTCAGCACCCCGCACTCTCAGCACCATGTAGCATCAGCGTTACTCATATGGTTTGGCGTAGGTCAATTTCTACTGGGTGAAGTTGCTTTCACATTGGGGCTTGACTTTCCTGGGAGTGCGTAAAAGGGAGAAGAATGCACAGGTGCGGGACAATGAGCTGACGGCACCCAGCGCTTGAGAACTTGAGAACCTCTTTCTTGCCTTGGGCAACCCTCGCGGCTTACCAGTATGTCCTCTTGTCATGTGAGAAAACCGTTTGCGTCAGTGCTGGTTGTTGCCTACTGGGAGTACGTTTCAATGTTAATACAAACGCAAGTTTCTTAAGGTGGTGCTGCAAAGCCTGTCAATCGGTTTCATTTTCTTGTCTGAATCCAAGATTTTTTGTGACCCAGAAGACGACCGAGCAACGACACGCGCGTCGACACGCCTAGATCTGTTACTCAAGTCACGCGGTAGAAGGCTGCAGGTGCGGTCCGAAAGGTTCGCAAATCTAGGTCCATAAGTACCAATCACTATCAACTCTAAGGTCCATGCAGTACATACAGTACCATTTCATTCACGATGATCGCGCCATTACAGGCCCAATCTCCTGAAGTGCGGGTTGCCCGAGGCAGCCAGACTACAATCTGAAACCGTCACACTAAAGTTTCCAACAGCAAAGAAGGTGCCAGGTTGTTGGGGCAGCACGGCCGTGACACAACGCGTGAATGCGTGGTGCTCTGCTATCGCTCGCCGCTTGGTGCTGTCTTCGTCCGAGGATTCATTTTGATTTTGACACTTTTTAACCGGTTGTCCCCCATTCTGTGCGTGCATGTTTGGCTCTGGTCCCCAGGTATGTCGCCATTGGCTGCGAGGCCTGTGCATGATCGGCGACAGCTGCGGCTATTTGCACAAAATGGACCGGAATAGGATGCCTATCTGCAGGTGTATGTGTGTGTGTGTGTGTGTGTGTGTGTGTGTTTTTGTTATTATTGGCATCGTCCGCGCTAACCGGCTGACCAATGATGTCAGTCTCAGTGCGGTTGAAAACACAGCGTGTGTGTTTTGTGGGTGTGCGGTTCTTTGACTTGCATCGACCACATTAAGTGACTGACCAATGACAAGATACCAGTCTCATAGCAGGATAGCTTTCGTGAAAAAAGTGGTGTTTTGTGAGTGTACATAATTTGTTTAGGGATTGCATTCATGAGCAACACTGAAGTTTGCATACTGGAAGGGACGTGTCCATTGCTCAACAACGAATCGCCATAGATACCTTCGCCTTTTGGCCTGCGTAGATGTTACAACTCGCCGAGGAGTGACACACACGCCGAAGTCGAATAGTCACGCAGTTTTGGAATGGGCTTGAGACGATCCAGAAGATGATACAGGAGCCCCCAGCCTGTCGGTATCATAATGTGCCTTGGGCGGGTCAATGGTTTCATAACCCACCCTGCAAAGCAGACAACAGAGGGGACGGGCGGTAGCAGCGTTCGCCCAAGTTTCGGCATGGTGTTGATCTATCGGCACTTCTGAGAATGTTCACTTCGCCGTCCTTTTGTTTCGGCCGCGACAGTCGCGTACTCTGGGTCCAGCCGTTTCGCAGCAAATGCTGCGCCCCGCTTGAAGCTAGCCCACGCCAAAGTGCAACATGATGATGGGCGCAGCTCTACGAGCACGCCGAACGTCGTGATTTCAACTTGTCAACGTCGTCGAGCTCTCGATTCGACCCTCCACACACATGCGCGAGACCGATCCCCTTCCGAACTGGTGTCTGTGGCATTGCACGGCCGAACCGGCGAGAAAATAATTGGAATCAAGACCTCGGAATATTTTTCACGACTCCTTCACGACAATTTTCCCCTGTTTTTGTCCAGCTCGTGTTAGTAATATCGAAGTGGTGAGACACGGCACGAGACGAATGACTGACGAGCACGACCTGTAAAATGTTGACGACCGCGCAAATCAAGTATTTTTTGTAACAATCTTGTGTGATGGCGTGACCCTGACCATACCTGGCGACAACGACGACGGCGTGAATCAGGTGGCGAACGGATTGCCAGGTGGAAGGGTGCGCGTTTCGTCACGAGGAAGAGCAGGAGGCCCCGGAGTGCGCCATGTACCAGCAGGGCTTCTGCCGCCATGGGCCCACGTGCAGGTTCAGGTGGGTTGTCCGTCAGCACTTCCGGCTCCGCCACGCCTTTCTTACCGTGTATCTGTGTTGTTCAAAGGGTGGAGGTGATGGGGTCGACTTGGATTATGTATAGGGCTATGTGACTTTTCGCCTTGTCTTGGATGTCTATGTAGGGCGATTGATTGGGGTTTTCGCACAATGAAATGTGCGTACTGTTTGGGACGGCGTGTCGTATTTTGGAGCATGAACAACAGGGCGATGGTTGTGTGTGGTGTAGATAATAGTCAGTTTCTGCACCGTCGTGCCATTTTTTCTACCGCGCCCCTTGTTAGAAGGTGTAAGACGGGATTGCAGCACAGGTCAGAATGCGTGATGAAGATTTAGGTAGGTCCTAAGTTATGACCCTTTACTTCTCTCCACGGGGTGTATTAGCGTCCTCATTCATCCAACGTTGCTCTCCCGCGTGTGTTTTATAACCAACCAATCAACCACCCCCTTCTGCGCGCCAAATTATAGCGGTGCCTCCTATGTTGGGAAGAACTTACGATGCCGCGTCTCGCAAATCAACATATTCATAACTTGAGTGAATCAAATTCCCACTCGATACCAACCTCAGGCACGTGAAGCGAGCGAGAGAGGACTGCCCCGAAGTGGCCGATTTCACTCTAGCAAACCCCACCAGCCTCCACTCCAACAGTGCCGGCGGCAGGGCCATCCCTCCCGGAGGCTTTAGCAGGAGCTTTGGGGGAGGCAGCTTTGGGGGTGGGGGCGGGGGGGCAGCGCAGAGGAGCGGGGGGGGGGGCGAACACGCCGCGAGATATTTCGGCAAGAACCAGATGTGCAAGTACTGGACGAGCGGGACCAAGTGCCCCTGGGGGGATGCGTGCAACTACGCCCACGGGGAGGTGTGTTCTGTACGTGCAGACAGGGCGTAATTTTTGCAGCGTACGATACGGCGCGGGCGCGCGTTCTTTGGTTCGGAAGATGATACAGAGGTGGTGATGATGGGGGGACGCAGCGGGGGGGGGCGTAGGACAGCCCTGAAGAAACCGGAATACGCTTCTATGTCGGGTGAAAAACAAACAAATGTGAGCTTGGGGTCGACCTCAAGTCGGAGCAGGACATGGTATCACGAATTACCCCTGTTGCACTTTTTGCCGCCTTCCTCCATCAAGTCTATCGTGTTGGTGTTGCTGGATATGGCTCACATTTGTTTTTTTTCTTTCGCACCTCCACAGGAAGATCCTCGACGAGATAGAGGCTCTGGCGGCGTTGGTGGCGGCTTCGGATCACGGTTCGAGCCGCGAAAAGACCCTTTGACGGATCCCGACATCGAAGCAATCGTGCCGGTGAAGGAGGGAGAAAAGGCCAGATTTTTCGTGCTGAGGAGCCTCAACCACGACAACCTTGCGGTGAGTCTTTTTTTTTCGTGCTTTGTTGTTCCCCCTTTATTTTTTTGATGCTCCGAGAGATGACAAGAAACCCATGACATTGCGATGCCTTTTTCTACCCCATCATCCCCCCCCACACACACTTCCCATGTGTGTGAACGGTGGCCACGAAATGCCAAAGGAAAGGGGGCAACGGCAGACGTTTCATGCCACTGAAACGGTAGCTCTAGCGAGGAAGACAAGCATTCACTGAGCCCCTTCCCACCGCGCCTGACCTGATATGTTGCTCTCCGCTTGGGGGGTGAGCCTGTACGTCTCGCGGTCCTCGTCATCCCAGCTTTTGTGATGTACCCTCCCCCCTTCCGTGCGAATCGTCTTGGGCTGCCAGGTGAGTGCTGTCCAGAACAAGTGGTACGCCCGTCGGTTCAACATCATGCCGTTCAACTCGGCCTTCGACGGCCCGGGGAGGGCTTTGTTCTTCTTCACGGTGAACCAGAGCAACAACTTTCAGGTGCCTGACTTGACCTTGACAGCAGTAGTGGCTTGGTGTTCGTTGCTCAGCCGGGTATAGCGAGTTCGATGCCACGCAATCTTGGATGAAAGCTCACGCCAAGATCCACGGTGACAATGTTTTTGTGTCGGAATAATGGTAATCTTTCCAATTTAACAGGGGTGCGCCGAGATGACCTCACGGGTCCCCCAGATGGGACCACGAACGGAGGAAGAGCAGGTGATGGAGTTCTCCGTCAAGTGGCTAAGGCTGTGCGAGCTGCCGTTTTCGGTGGCCAGTCAGGTGGGTATCGCTGTTATTTTCTTGTGAATAGAGGGTTGTGGAGGGAAAATCATTCGTCCGCCACTTTGGCGAGATGGGACCCCTTTTGAAGGTTCACCTCCACAAACAGGGAGTTTCTTTTCTTCTTCCAGTTTTTCAACAATCGGAGCGTTATTTTTTTCCGTGCGTATCTGCTGCCTGCATAGGTACCTCACCAATAACGAGCGAAAGAAAGCAATCCATGCATTTTGACCCCCGTCACCTCTAGCTGTAGCTCGTAGGATACCTGAAGGTCTCTCTTGCCTGTTTGTATATGTGCACACGCAATGATGCTTCCCCCCAGCTCCCCCCGAGCGATGCCTACCCCTTCGCTTGCTTTCGAGAGTCGGGCTGGAATTTCGACCTTCTGAGAAATGAGCCTTCAGCGAGCACGTCCTTCTCCCGTCCCCGCGCGTGACAGAAAGATAAAAGCGCCTACCCCGCCGAATGACAACTAACCGCCAATTTCTTCGGCTTGCACTGCGGCCAAACCGCACCCCTACTATTTAGGTCAAGAACCCTTCGCAAGACAATCTCCCGATCTGGCGGGCTAGTCACGGCATGGAGATTCCCTACGAGGCGGGACGAAAGGTGATTTTGTTCTGTTCTCATTTGCGCACGTAGGAAAGGTGATTTTTTTTTTGTCTCATCAAATACCTGGCTTAGTATATAGAAGTAATATCAAGACATGGACAAGGAAGCGAAGAAGCTACTGCTGTACGTCTACAGGGTTTGAGTGTCCATAGCGGCTTGGAGCCTCTTTTTGTTGAGCGTGTCTGTTTCTTGACGCGCACACTGCTGTGCTCGGCTTTTTGGTGTTGGCATGTTGAAATTGGCTACGCTGTCGCCTGTGTCGATACTTGATGATGACGGTTTGGTAGGTCAATGTGGGGTGTGGTGGTACACCGACCACCACAAGAGAGCAATCCAACACGCCTAACGAACTCCCCCCCCTCGCCTACCCTCTGCTCGTACTGAAACTTAAAATCTGCAGCTGTGCAAGCTTATGTGGGCCCAGCCGGAGATCGACCTCCCACAGCATGTGGTCCAGCAAGCGAAAGACGCACCATTCTCAGGGGTGCTGCCGGCTCGCTCCCCCGCCTCCGGAGGCAACCCCACGGGCCCCCCCGGAATGAGGGGTCCACCCAACAAGCTCGCGCGGGTAGGGGGGCCGCCGCTTGGGGGGGGGGCTCCGGGGGGTGTAGAAGGGGTTCCGGGGGGCGGGGCGGCGGGAAGTGGGGTGGGGGCGGGGTCGCTGCAGCTTCCGGGCCAGCAGCAGCAGCAGCAGCAGCAGCAACACCAACAGATGCAGATGCAGATGCAGCAGGGGCCACCACAGTTTGATGGTCCACCCGGGTTTCTGTTCGAGATTGAGTCGGAGGTACGTCTCGAGAGAATGTTGCCGGTTGGTTAACTCTGGGTCGGCGCGTTGAGGAACAGCGCTTCCTCGCAATCGGCGGTTTTTTGGCACTGTTTAGATGCTGCTGGCATCCAGCACTGCTGTGAAATAACTGCGAAACAAACGTCTCGTCTTCGACGTGCGTATGGATAACAACAGATGACACTCGTCCGTAGAACCGTTGTTTGGGGTAGTCAATATGCCTTTCAGGCCGAGATGGGTATTCCAAGAAACTCGGCACGTAGACGCGACCAAACGAGCAAACACCCCCGGCGAAACCTACACTTCCTTATCCTTCGCTTTGCTAATTTTTTCCAATCCGGTGCCTTTTGCTCTGAGTATCGTCAGCAAGGTAACACAACACACCGCCCCTGCCTCGTGTTGCTCCGCTCGCCCCTCAGTTCTTCGACGAATGTGTGGGGAAGCTCTTGTTCGGCCTCCCGGCCAGACTACCCCCTCACGCCCACGATGCCATTCAACCTGGAAACCCCTTGTTCTTGTGGGACCCTGGGAACGGCCTCGTCCTCGGGATTTTCCGAGCCGTGTCTGGGCTATCGGAGCGTATCGACGGGACGGCGTGGGCTAGACCGGGCATGGAGACGCCATTGCCTTGGCAGGTCGGTGCTAGTGTTGTACATGCTTGTTACGCTTGTTGTTGTTGTTGTTGTTGTTGTTTGTGATGGTGGTGATGATGGTGGTAGTGTCGTTGTTGTGTTTGCTGCGTCGTTCTTGGTTGTCTTGAGGTTGTCAGAAAGCATCGGCAGCGACGACCGAGTGGTGAATAGAAGTACCGTGCGTCCAGTAGCCCGTGTGTGTGTTGCCTTAGCATGGACCGCACTAACCCGACCGACAAATGAGAAGACATCAGCCTCGCATTGGGATAAAAAACGCGAACATGCTTTCTAGTGTGTATGTGTGTGTTTAAGTGCATGTTTCCACATGTCAACACCCGCCAAGCAGACATTTGCATTTCTTTTGCAGAAACCGATCGCTCCCCGCGGGTTGGCGCCACCTTTTTTCCCTCCCACACACCCAACCGACTACCGTCCCCGACCACGTGAACCAAGTATTTCTATTTCCTGCCCATTTTTGTATCTCGTGCCGCGTTGCTCCAGGTTCGAGTGTCGGTGGATCTAAAGGCTCCGCCAATCAAGGCGGGGGAACCGATCATCCGAGAGCTGTTCCGAAGCGGCATGGTAGAACCGGGGGCGTTGGATCCACGGCAGGCGGACATCCTGGCTTCTACGATGGCGGGCCGTATGCGGCCGCCACCGCCTGGGGTAGTCCCGGTACCAGGACCGGCGGTAGCGGTAGTGCCAGGGGATGTGGGGCCTCCGGGTTTCAACGGTCCCGTTGTAGGCGGTGGCGGTGGCGGTGGCGCCCACCGGGGCAGGGGCGGCAGGCGAAACAGGAACGGGGGCGGTAAAGGTCACAGATCTGGGAAAAAATAGATGCTTTTGCTGTTGTGTCTGCTGTTTGTTTCGAACGTTGTTCGTCTCGGTGATTCCGGAGCTTGATTGGTTGGGGAACTGCATCACCATTGTTTGCGATGCTAGGACCGCGCTCCTGAGCAGTTTGGTGGGCGCGCGGCTGGTTTTCTATCGCAGGTTTTTCTATCTCGTGGCGTGCGTTGGCTCATCGAAAGCGTTGCGTTTTGTTTTGTTCACCCACTGCCGCTTGCTTGCCGACGGCGCTTTTGCCGTGAGGATACTGCTGTACGCTGCGAGTTTTTGCGGCAGTGGCCACTTCTTTTGTGCGATTTGAACAAGTTGATTGGTTTCACCCAGGTGCCTATGGCGGGGGGCAGCTAAGGATTGTTGCCTCAGCCGTTGTTTGTTCAATGTAGCTGTGTTATTCCGCGCCATGCTGTTCGTGTCAAAAGAGGACCTTGTGAGCAATTCTACGGAGACGAAAATGCTTTTTGTAACAACTCCGTCCGTCTTGTGTAGTTAAAAGTGGCCTGTGCCATCTTTGTTGCCATATTCGTTGATGTCTCAAATTTCGAGTCTGTGCAGTTGTCGGGCTTTGAGCGAATTTGCTTCGGCCGAATCCGCCCGGTCCTCCGGTAGCAGCGGGAGCGCGGTGCGGCATGTGTAGGTGGGTTGCACCGCCCATGGGTATGGATGTGCTCTTGTGCGTTAAAGTTCCCTGTGGCATGTTGGGTGTGCGTTTCTCCGTAACAGCCTTCACACGATGGTATTCCCCTCGTACCTTTCGAGCGTGTGTACACTTTTGGTACTGTAGGTGGCCTGTGCCCACGGATTGCGTCCGCGTCGGTTGCACCGGTACGGATGTTAAGGGGAACTGAGCAGAGACCGGAACTACTTAACCAGTGAAGACAACAGCATGAACGACGACATTCCAGTTTGTCCCGTACGAAAACAAACATATAAACAACACGCCTCCACGATTGCGGGGAAATGATCCTGACCTCTCCAAGCATCCAACTCTAGACTTTTGACATCGTAAGTGGAAACCACATCAATACATGCCCAGTTGGTTTGGCGACTCCATGATATGGCGAGGCAGCGAACACGAATCGCAAGAAGTCCGGTTGGTAACCACCCCGTTTGAATCCCATTACCGCGGTCACTAGGTCATGCGTTGCTGACATACAGCACGAGCAGTAGCACAGGGGAAGGATAGCGCTGTGCTTCAAGCAGCCGCGAACCCTGCGTTTTCCATGTCCTCACAATAAAGAATGGCAGAGGCTCACGAGACTCGTCCAGATTCAACACCTCACCCGTTGCCTGTATGGCTCATGCATGGCGTAAAACGTTTGGGTGCACGCAAAAAAAACGTATGCGACAACGCGATATGGTGACTGGGCTGCTTCATCAAATCACCAAGTGAACAGAAAAGGCTATCCAAATTACGAAAGATCGCGACTGGAAAACTGGGACTGGCAAGTGCGCAAATTCTGCTTGCCAAGCGCACTAGAAGTACACATAAATCATTCATGCCTCACACGCCATCATCAACAATACCTACGACAGACAGCGGGCCATTAAAGGCACCACACCACATGGCTCTACTTCGGGCACTAAAACCGGCGATAAGCGGAAGCCAGAGACCGCCTGCAGAAAAATACACCAGGAAGCCGCCTGCAGAAAATCCCACGTGGTGAAAGACACATGAAACTATCATGGCGGACCGCTGGACTCTGGACGCTGAGATCCAAGCCGTGTGGTGCTCAATCCTCTTTCGCGACACGATCGTGAACTGCCCCAGCACTTCACACGCGTGCGCCCATCCATCTACAAGGCACATCCGTCTGTATGCCCTGTACTGCTGTATCAACTAAACGTGAAAACACCGTGATGAGGGCCGCGACCACGCCGGAAATGACCGCCGAACAAAAAACCAAAGAGCGAAAATGTACAGCAACGATGGCACAAAACTGAGCGATTTCCAAACTACTACAAGAGCGCCCGCTTGCACCCGCAGACACCGAAAGGAACCACAATATCAAGCTGCTCCGTCACGTCGCCCGTGCGCAGACGCACCAACCAACGCCCTCTGGGTGCAGCAAATCAAGAAAGTCTCCCTCCTATGACATGACCGCCCGAGGCCATCGAGTAGCCCATCTTCCCCTGCCGACAGTCCTTGCATTCTCCCTAAACCTGCGGAAAGTCGGCGACGTTGGACTGGATGATACCCACGATGATTCCGAAGATGCCTAGCGCCGACGCGAAGATCTCAACGATGAGGATCTTCACAAACAAGGACGCGTCTTGGGCGTCCCCCAACGCACAGGCGCTGCCGGCCACGCCTACCGAGATCCCGCTCGCCAGGTTCGTCAATCCCACCCCGAGCCCCCCGCAAAAGAGCGCGTAGCCGGCGAAGAAGGCGGTGGTCCACTCGTACGATTCGATGTCCTCAGGCGGGTCCTACGAGGCGGTGGCAGTACGGGCAGGATTGGTTGCCGTCTAGCGAGTGGGATGCGTGGCCCGTGCAGATGCTTTTACCAACAACGGGGTGCCGTCTTTGAAAAACATGCTGGTCTACAATCTCTTCCCTCTGTACGTAGAGTGTGTTACAAACCCGGACCTGTTGCTTGCCTAGTGAGCACCACACAACAACTCGCTTGGGAAAAACGTAGACACGAAACCGGAAAGGCTGAAACATACGGCCGCAGTGCTATTATTGCGCTCGAAGATACCATGCATAAACCTGTCGCTCGCGTCATCTGCATAGAAAATAATGATTCGCGAGAAGTGTGCTCGAAAGAGCACGCCATCACGGTAAAAAAATTCAGCGTTGGTTTTTTGGGGATAGCAGTCGTAGGCACGCATGACCTTCCCGCACTGTGTTTCCTTCTTGAGTGTTAAGTCTACGAGCAATGGTGTGTCACAATGGCCGCAACTTGAAACTGAAACTGAGGGAAACGAAAAATGCCAGGTGGGTTGCACAGGGCACACGTGCACGATAGCCACTGTCCCTCACCGTTTCATTCTGCGTGGCGAGTGTAGGCTTCTACAACACAGGGTGGAGATGGTACAGACTGTCTCGCAAACAGCAAAACGGAACAAGAGGCCGCGCGTCTTCCGTGCTTCGAAGCAGATACGACTGCCAGCACGCGTAGATTCCGCGGCGTGTGAGGCAACCAATCTCAATACCGTCCCATATGCACTTACCGAATCATCGCACGCAGTGCACGGCATGGATACAGCACGAGGAGCGCAGCAGTCGTGCCAATTGCTGTACACGGCGACATACTTGTAGCATATGCTATGTACTGGAAGAGGGGCACAACACTGTTGGCTGCTGATCGCGCCGCGCGAGAGCCATCTTCTCCGTACAGCGTGGCGCCAAGCCGGCAGGGCGCTCTTTCTATCTAAAGAACTCGATACGCTCACAGCTAACGAAGTACTGCGAAATTGCTCTCTCTCTCCTTCTCTCTGTGACTCTCAGTCTATGGGACCCCTTCACGAGTGACTTGACCAAGACAGGAGGGGTACAAGTGGCCCAAAAAACATCAATAAAGAGAACAGCTATACCTGTGTACCGTGCAGACGTCCAGCACAGAAAAAGTGCGGCGCGACTTGCCGTGCGGCGATGCCCCCAATCCATTAAACGATGAACACATGAACACGTGTCTGCGCCATACAACATCGACGCCGCAGCACGTGTGCTACTGTTGACAGGCTGGGTCCTTGTGCAACTGTCGCGTGCCGCACACACACCTGAATTTTGTTGGTGAGGATGATCGCCATGATCACTCCGTAAATCGCCGTCGCCTCGCAGAAAATCACGCTAACCAAATTCTTAGACCTAATACGAGGCGCCTTCACGGCTGCGCCCATGATGCTAGACCCCGTGAGGAAGATGCCCCACCCCGCTCCCAGCACGGATAGACCCAGGGCAAACCCAATACCAAGGTTGGCCCAGCCCCACGGCGACATATGCGTGAGAACCTCCGGCCAGCCCGCATTGCAGTAGTCGTTCGTGCAGAACACCTCCGTTGATGAAGTCATCGTGCGCTGCTGCTGCTACTGCTGTTGCTTCTACCGCCGTTGCTCCTGGCCGACGAAGCAGCTCCCACGTCAGTAGACAAACAGAATGATCAAGTGCACACGATGCGTCGGCCCAGCTCAGTGACCTCGCAGTGTTCACCTGGCCGCCTGGCTCTGTCTGTCTCTCGGAAGCACAAGCAGCTTCAGGACAAATGTTTAGAAGGGTCGGGGGGATCGCAGAGAAGAATATAGGGGGAGGGGTAGGGTTGTTCACTTGGGGTTTGCAAGACGCGTGTAATGTGTTTTCAAAAATGAAACCGACAAACCGAAGACGCCTGACACTCCGACGACTCCGATTCGTCGAGAGTTTCGCTTTCCGGCGTTCCGAGGTTCCCAGCCTGCATGGTTATGAATGCACCCGAGAACGGGTCGACAAGCACCCCACATACGACGCACGGATGATACGCGACCACGATGTCCGTTGTGAAGACTGTGAAAAGCAGGAAGGCGCTGCTGACAGCTCTAGAGCAGGTGCGACCAAGTACATGGGTTGGCATGTTGTGAAGTTTCGATTCAAGCAAGTGTTCGATGTTGTGTCTACGTTTAGTGTCCAAGACACGTGCCTGGTCTTTGGGTTAGCCCTCGCGGTCCGTGGGTCTAACCAGTGAAGCTCGCTGTAGAGTAATGAGGGTTTCGGTATCGAGTACTGTGGGGCGCTCACCTTCACATTCCACTCCATGCCGAACGTCGGGTTGAGTACTTTGGCGCGGAGGCCTGCTGAATTTGTGTAGACTAATGTACATGTTTTCGCATGAACATCGGACACACACAGCAGCTGTCATAAAGCTTCCGTTGAATTGCGTTTACAATTACTGATTGCTGTGTCGGTAGGGATATTGGGGCCTCTCTACGCTCCAGCATTCAGCAGTGGGAGCGAATGTCGCGATATGCGCTCCTGAAGTTGTCGTGGGTCTGTTGCATAATATTCCATTGGATAGGCTACGTGGTCATTATTTTGAATTGAAAAACACAAACAGCACAAATCAATCCTGTTGGCATCCATGTAACTTCACCTGCATACGACTTGTGCCCCGTTGATGTATTGCATAGACCCCGAAAGACAAGCTTCGTTGGTGGGACCACAAACAACGGATACTAGAGAACTGGCTCGACACGAGCGGGGATGAGATCACAGTGGAAGGCGCATCCCAGCTGATCCGTGGGCAGCTGCAGAGAGGGAGCGCGCATGAGCACTTGCGCATCAAGTGCTGGAAACACATAGTTATCGAACTGTCTGCGCTAGTGGAGGACGATGCGGCACCGTCAAATGGAACTGCCGCGGTGATGAGTGGAAGGTATCGGACTTGACGCAATCTAGATCATATCCCCTCGTTGATAACCATGGGACTTATCGTGCACACGAGTACTGGGAGAACATCACTGCGGCATTCGTTGGGTTGCCATTTCGGCGAGTGCCAGTGACGAAAAGAGCAAACACCGACATAGTTTGAATTCGAGGTTTATGTTGCTCGACGTACATAGTACGCGGCAAGCATCACGTGTGATTGGTGAGAGGGTAAATATCTCGCGGTGCACCGGTCGCATTCAAGCCAACAACATGCCCACTACCTTGATAGAGAAGTAGACAAACTGACCAGCACTAACAGCTTCGCAGGACGGTGCGTGGTGGTAATGGTCCAAAAAATGATTTCGTGCTTGTTGCATCAAAGTATCATCGAAGAAAAGGAACATCGTGCGAACATTCGACAACTCTCCGGCTGGTAGTAGCAAGGCCAATGTTCGTCGTGCTTGAGAGCGACTCCTGCGCGTGTATGTGTACCCCTACCCTTTGCGAACAAAGTTTCGGAGGCGTCGAAGCTTCGTCAGCATCAATCACAACGTGCCCGCTTCGTGGCCATGCGTCCGCATTGTATTTTCAGACGAGGAAGCTCGCTACGACCGTCCGTTCAAAACTCTTCGCCCGACGACAACGATGACGATGGGGTGGTAGACCTGTCAGGATTGTCGTTCGTCGAGCGACAAGAGGAGTGGCTGCGCCGCAAGCAAACCGCCCTGCGGGCCAAAACGCACGAGGTGGAGAGGGCGGCGAAGAACGCGGCGACCTTCAACCCCAACCTAGCGATCAGCCAGAGCTCACTCAGGCCGGCACAGGTGCGACGATACTGTGAGAGCGGGCTCGTGTGGGCACCGACACCGATGACGTAGTGCAATTCCATCAAGCGCAGTTTTGGTGGGCCGTGTTCCCGTTCGAGTAAGCAGGCTCGTTGTTGGCGGTGTGTTCGTTCCATGCCTCAGCTTGCCACGTGAGAACGCCACCGCTGAGTTGTGGGGCTGTCGATCCCGAAGGCAGCCAGATTGATGAGACTTGTTGCATTGACGGGGTAGCGCAGGGCAGGAATCGTCGTAGGCAAGATTTGTCAACGAGGTGGCGATCAAGATGCGTGGTGCAGCGACTGTACCGCAGCCAAGCGAACAACGCCTGGGGCCACATGTACTCGTTGCCGAGCCTAGGCACGGTGCTATGTAGGTAATTCATCAGGTCCTGAACTGCTCTAGTTGTCAGGGAACGGAATCGAGAACAAGACGAGAACAAGGCGAGGCGGGCGATGTAGTTTGTACATATACTGCTGCGCTACGGGGCAGTCAGATCACTGCTTCCAGTATCCGCCTCAAAACCCTCTTGCTCAAAAAGCAAAGGCTGTGCAGCACACTCGAGAGAGAAGGCTGCGGGGAGAGTCGACCACGCGGCCCTTGTACCGAACAGTAAACCAAGAAACTCTCGGATCTTTCTTTGCCTGCTCGCGATCAATATCACTCTGAAGGTGTCAGCAGTGGAGATGAAGCTGGAGCAGATGGCGAATGAGGCCGAGCGGCACGCGCGAAGGAATTCTTTCTCGCAGTCTATTCAGGAGGCCAAGCGGAGGGCCGAGCGAGAAGCACTTCCACCGCCGACTATCACAGCCGGTGGCCGGCGGCGAAGTCGTATGAAGCGCAGGGGAAGGTGATGAGCCCCTTCGCCTAGGTCACGGCTGTGCTGAAAAGCGCGGCCAGCATAAACCGGCAGTCGGCACGAACTCAAGTTTGTCTCACCCGTTGCCGGATAAGTGCGGGTAAACTTCGTGCAGGGGGGACCCATGCGGTTACCCTAGAAAAAGGTAGTTACACGTCTGCATGTCCAATGCTAGCCTGGCGTGTTTTGTCCACGACTCAGGCCTGTCCGCCATCGAGACGGGGATCCAGCCCACTAAAAATGTTTTAGCTCAGATCACAATCGCACGCCTCGAAGTTGGACCAGGTGCCCGCTCCACGAAATTCCAACGACCGCAACCCCTTTTTTCGAATCCACAGCACGGACGAAGACGTGGCGCACGCACGGCGGGCGACCGCTCCATCCGGAGTGCTCCAAGCTCGAGACGATGCCATCGGCCTCCTTAACCCTGCTGGCGATGGACAATCTGACGACGGTTTGGACGAGAGCGCGGGCAATAGCAATCACGACCGCTCGATGGGCGGGGTAGGCGAAGGTCCAGGGGTGGACGGGGAGGAGGCCGGTGATGGCGCTGTTGATAATACTTTGGATGGAGGGGAAAACGAGGGGAAGGAAAAAGAAGAGGAAAAAGAGGCGGGGGCGGAGGAGGAGGAGGAGGAGGACGGGGAACCGCCGTTCGAAAAGGGATCCTTTTTCTTCAAGGTGGACGACAAGGATAAGGGGCACTACAGGGTCAGGGACGTCTCGTGCTTCCTGCTGACAAGCATGTACAAGAGAAAGGACCGCGTCACGCGCACCCCTGGCGTATCCCTTTTGGTCGGAAAGCTGGAGGACCCGCCGCACGAGGAGAAGGTGATTTCCGCCCTCTTCGACACCGACCGCTTCACGGAGAGGGCCGCGGCGCAGTGGTGGGAAGACAACGGGCACAGGTTCGAGGATGCAAGGAGCCTGGCCGCCAAGAAAGTGAGCGAGGTGGAGAAAAAACATCTCGAGATTTGCTGCCGAGTGCAACTGCTGAGCACAAATTTGCCGTGTGCGGAATGAGGCAAATGGAAAAATTTATCGTCGAGTTTCTTTCTCCCTCCCTACATTCCAGCAGCGGAAGCTTAACGGGTGGATTTCGGAAAGATACCCTGTGCAGGAATTCCTTGCAGAGAGGTCTTCTACCGCGAGCGGAGATTTCCAGCCAACGGCGTCAAAAGGACATACTCTGATGCGTGTGCAACACGGATGCTCCCCCCCGCCCTTGCTCCCGCCCCATCTCGCCCCCATTCCAGCGCTGGTCTATCCTTCCGTCGTCTTCCCGTTCCCTAATGCCCTGTTCACCCCACGTACGAATGTCGCCTCGCCTTTTTGCGCTTGTCCACCCGGCCAGGAGCTCGATGATGATAGGAAGCGCACGATGGAGCGCAACATCGAGGTTCTTCGCAGGGCATCTGCTCCTGCAAGAGCAGCGCTTAACGCCAAGAAAGCGATCAGCATCCTCTCGGCGACAGCACCAGCATCGCTCGAAAACACAGCAGCAGTAGTATCGTACCAACCCGCGATCGAGGCCTGAACGTTTCCTAGAAACATAAATAAAGCAACTTGTAGCGTTTTAAAGCTTTAGTGTGAGAGGTGCCGCAAACACTTGTACGCCTGCTTGAGGGGAGAGGTGAAGTTGAGGGCAGAGGGTCTATTTACGTGTTTGTTCAGTTCTCCCCGGACCACTCCTTATATGGTGAGACAGACAGAACGAGCCGATCTGGGATATGTGGCGGGCACGCAGTATTAATGCTGTCGGTTTTCCCCGTGAGGGCCAACTCGACGCTTTTGTCTTTGCAACAGACGGACCAGTCGGTTGAGAGGTCTCATTTTTCACAGTTAGTTTCGTTGGAGGTGGTGATGAGTTGCTACTGTCGTAACATTAGAAACCGTTCCGGCGTTTTTTTTTCACGAACCTTTTGTGTCATTGATCCATGGATGATATGCTATGTACGGATTTACGTGGAATTTCGGGCATCAATCAGATGGCTTGTAGCAATTCGTTCTCCATGTCGAAGCAGCTGTATCAAGTATGCATAGGAAGTTTTTTTTTCCTCTGTACCGTCCTCCTCCCCCTCCCCCTCCCCCTCCCCCTCCTCGTAGATATTGTAGTACAGGCTGTACAGCAGTGTACAGTAGGCTTCTCCCGATCCAACATCACAATGCCATCATTCATTTCCGCTCCTCATGTGCTTTCCGCACTAGCTACGTAGCATAGGACAATGGCAAGGAGACAACTAAGCATGTTTGAAAGCACAGCAGCAGTAAATGTAGGGCTCGTCTACTTCATCGAGTCCGAGGACTGACCCTGATCGGAAGGACCGGTCCCAGGAACACTCGCGGTAGTTCGGATTCACCACGTGTGTCGCGACTTTTGCAAAATATTTGTGCGTTCAGTTTACCAACAGGATCACCCCTCTCTCCAGAGCTGTGCAAATTGGCTAGTGCGCCTTCAAGAGCGCGATAGACACAGCAGAGACAGCAAAACGGGTAGATGCTCGGGGGTAAATAAGAGGAAAACGCCTCCTTTCATATTCGTAGAAGACGTTTAGACGTTTGGACGAAAATCGAAAAAAAAAAATGGCGTTGCAACGACGTGCGCTGGATCCGCAGCGAAAATACGTCCACAGCGTGCCAACAAGCCAGGCACTTGGAAGATCTCTCCGGGAGGGTAAGAGACAAAGCCCTGCTGCCAGATCAAGCAGAGCCGTGCGTGTAGCCTTTTGCCACCAACCAACACCTGTATCTACAACCCGGCGCATGGAGCGGATTGGTCGCACGGCGTGAAAGAACGGCGACGGCAGCAACCATCGTTCACCCAAACATGTTCCACCCTGCCGCTGGGCCTCACGGGCATGGCGCGGCGGCGGGCGGATGCAACGGCTTGCTGTTCGAGTGGCTGATCTCGCTGCGCTTCCGGCCGGAGGTCGCTCGAGGATACACCACCGCGCTCGTGCGCCTCGGCTTCGACGATCTGCAGTCCCTCCGTGAGGCAAGAAAGAAAAAAGTTGTTGGGCGATTGATTGCACATTTCTACGCCACGTTTGCCGCCGTTTGTGTGCTGTAGCATCGGTTTGCCGTAGTCTATCCGTTTTGTAAACATTGGTGAGGTAGGATCGGGAGGGACAGAGGATCCTGCTTGGGCCAGTAGGTGGTGCAGGGGGAAGGTGGCATGATCTCCGCCGGCTGTCAAGCTTCGTGTTCGAAGTCAGCTAGCGCGGAAGATTTTCTGGCGGCGAGACGTAGACTGCAGTGTCGCAGCACCAAGCAAAAGTATGTAGACGACGCTGCAGACTACATCACCGATCTTCGAAATGTTCCGAAAAAAAAATTAATACTAAGAAATAAGTGCACACAGAGAAATGTTGCATGTAGATAAACTTTTGTGGCCGCAAGTGTTGAATAGACTTGACCTTAGAATGGAATTGTACAGAGATAGTTCCTAACAATAGAGGTACGCTATGAACTTTCAAGTTTGCAAAATCACCATCTACATCCACCCAGCCGTATGTATGCCGAACGCAAAGTATTGGATTGTCCAAATCATTTTTCCTAATCATTTTCCACACAGCATGGGGCCATCTCGTTTGCATCCGGCCGCGCTGCAGGCTACACACACACTACGGCGGTAGGCCAGACGCGCCAAAGGTTGTTGAAGGATTGGCGTTGTGAGTGTACTGAAGAGAAAATAAACGTGAAGTGAAAGATTGTCTACAGCATATTCCTATAAGCATACCCTACAAGTACGAACAACAACCCGACTACCCGCTCTGTTGGACGTCGGAGAATTTTGGCGGGCCGGTTCCCAATGTCCACGGGTCAGCATCATTTTGTTTATTCAGGTTGTAGACTACGAGGAGCAAGGAATGCTGTTGCGCGGTGTGTGGCGACCCTCGTTGTCATGTTCCTCTATTCGATCGCTCGTTGTGTTCTACCAATTGCGAACGAACCTGGTTGAAGTTTGAACAACTACTACTACAGTCTTGGCGAAATAAAAAAAACAGCAAGTACGTACGTACGCGCTTCCCCCCACACACCACCGTCTTTGTTTGCACATCAGCGGCAGCAATAACAGCTCAACCCCATCGCCCTCGAGGCAATGCTGTTCGATGAGCTTCGCTTCGGATCTGGACATTCCAGCGGGAACACGTTAAAAATGTTGTAATGGTGGTTAGATATTTGCCACGTGTTTCGGCACCAGCAGGGCGGCTTCTACCGGAAGTTGGCCCTGAATGTATAAATGAATAAAACCCCGTTTCGATCTCCCTGCCCGGCACCTTGTACTTAGTACTCACTTGATCGCTGAAAAACACTCATGCGAAATAATGATACCTGGACGTGCGCAACGTAAGAGCGTAAGATATGTATGGTGCGTGCACAGTCAATGATTGCGCACGTCCTTGGCAAGAGCGCCGAGAGACACATTAGGCGCCCCAACACCACTACGAGAGAGAAGACGTTCCTGCCTTTGTTTTCGTGATGCTTTTTCGCAGGACGCAACTCAACATGATCTTCACAGGGCGGGGATGAAGCCGGGGCACGTCAAGCGTGCCTTGAAAGCGCTCGATGCAAGTCCACCCGACCACCAGCCAAGGCACGTCCAGCAACCGCGATGCGGAAGATCTTCCTCTCCTAGCCCTTCATGCGCGCAGCAGCAACAAGAACCGCTACAGCTCGCCACAGCAACGACAGAATTCAACATCGCTTCCTCCGTCAACAACACCAAGTTTAGCAGCAGCGGCAGCGGGGACAGCAACAGCAGCAGCAGCAGCAGCAGCAGCAACAGCAATAGCAACAGCCACTCCAGCACGACCGTAAACAGCACAGTCTCCACCAACACCACCACCGTCACCACCACCAAGAACAGCAACGCAGGAGCTGCCGCGGCGGCGGGGGGGGGGGGGGGGGTGGGTGGTCAGAAACTCTGACGGCAGCATCATACTCCCCCCGGGTGTAAGCTGCGTCGTTTGCGAAGATGGAAACGGGCAGCGGCTACGATACGCCGTCGCCCCACCCCCACCCAATCACGGCCCAGAAGCGATCACAGTGACCGCTAAATCGGTGGGGGCGGCCGCGGCGGCGGCGGCGGTGGGGAGAGCACCTTTTCGTCGCAGCACAAGCACCACGGTGGCGGGGGCGGGGGAGGCGGTGATCCGGCGTAGTACCAGCAGCGGTGCCCCCAGAGGAAGAGGGAGGAGAGGAGCGGGGGAAGGCACGAAGTCACTTTCCCCTCCCGGTGCTGCTGATGGTCCTGCTCTTCCGCATCAAGCGCCGTTTCACTCCGACAGGAACGCTGTGAGCCCAAAGGTCATGTGATGTGATGTGCGTTCCCACCGATCGCCGTGAATAGAGCAGCACGCGTGTCTTTCAATTCAGCGTGAGTGTGTTCGGTGTACTAGGTTCTCTGTACTCGACTTATTCCCTATTCAAGACTTGACAGGGGACATGGTGCTCTTAACAACTCTTGGCACACCTTCTTGACGCAATCACCCCCGCCCACATCCTATCACCCGCCCCCCCCACGCCCCCCCCCGGTGTTTGCCATGGGGGTTGGGTTTTCGTCGCTTCGCAATGACGTTGTAAAACAAGCCCCCCCTCGGTGTTTGCCATCGGGGTTGGGTTTTCGTCGCTTGGCAACGACGTTGTAAAACAAGCCAATTTACTTCGTGAACTCGGCAACCAGGTTACCGTTTCTTTTTTTTACCTCTGTTTTGTTTTTGGGGGTAACCATGAATGGTGGTCGAGTGGATCATGTTGTGCGGGGTCGAGAACCCTCACTCCCCCCCCCCC